ACAATGAGAGTCTTAATTATGGAACAAATTCTGCCAACTCTACTGATTTTGTTGGTTCTGGAAGTGGGGCTGCGGGATACGGTACGTTGGGGGGTCTCGGAACAATCTGGGGTTCCTCTTCAATTTCGGGTCAAGGTGGAGGAAATGGTTCTTTTGGAAGTGGCAACATTGCTAACAGTGGCGAAGCAGTTGGGACAGGGTATGGACGAAACTCAGGAAGCAATGCTGTCAATACATCACCTTATTCCTCAGCAAAAGACATTCCTGCTGGAGCTTTTGGGAACTTGTATGGTAATACTGTAGGTGCTTCGTTCTATGAGGACTCAGCCTGGCGTTCAACATCTCCAGAACTAGATGACTCTGCATCCTTTGGTTATGGACTTGGGAACACAGAGTCACTTGGTTATGTTGGTGGTTATAGTGTTGCAAATAGATCAAATAAAGGTAAGAAACTCCTCATTTGTTACTTTTAGTTAATTGTCATGATGTCTTTCTGATGCATGCACTAAACGGTCTGCCACAAAACTCACACATCATTGCTCCTACTGAAAAAAGGGCAGCCATGTGCACTAAGCTCCCCCTATGCGCGGGGTATGGGCATTAAGGGTCTATCGGGTGCGGCCTTACTGATAACAGCAAGGTTAAGGGAGATCACAAATAGAGAATTAAATATTAGAATGCGGAAGCACAAAGAAAAGAAACAAAAAAACTAAATAAAGATATGGAAAATTCGAAGGAAAGATCCACGAATTTCCAAAGATTAGATGTTCTAAGGCCTTGAAAAGATCCAAGTAACAACGTATAGATTTATGGAAGAAATCTAACGCCTTTACTTGAGAAAACGAATCAAAACGATAGATTCGGATCTTGACCGCTTTATGAGTAACTAAAGACAATAATTAGTATGTAGAAACTAATCACCTTCTAAAGAATACCAAAAAGAAACCAAAGATATCACAAGAAGAAGTTACTTTATACCTTAAACTATGAAACTAGTAAAGGTTTAAAGATAAATTCTCAAAGAACAAGTCACAAAGGTTCAAAGAACTCTCCCAAATATTATTAATATCAATCTAAATTGTCTTTAATGAATGAAAAAGGACTCCTATATATAGGAGAAGGGAAAAACGTCCAAGAAGCCAAACCCTAAAAAAACAATTACAAGGAATCCTACTCTAGAAAGGAAATAAAGTAACCTAACTAGGAACAAATTTAGTACTTCTAGGAAAGCATTAAATGGTACTTAGGAGACCATAAATAGACTAAGGAAAATATTAATAACCTATATATAAATAAATAAATAAGGTAAATCCCAACTAGGAAAAGAATCTTGACAATCTTGGAAAGTTTGACTAGTCTTCTCTCAAAACTTGGGCAGAAAGCAACTCTTGTTGTGGCTGATTCTTGGACTCTTCTTGACCTTTTTTGCACGAAATTGGACCTTAAAATTCCTCATCTTGGGCTTGAATTTGGGCCACCAAATAATTGTAGCATTTGGACAATTCCTCTCCCTTGGGCTGGAGCTCTTCTTCCCCAATAAGAAACCTTTGGATCAGCGATTGAAGCCCATTGAGCTTATCATTGAACTCCTTGGTTTGAGATCTTGTTATGGGCCTCCTTGGAGTTTCTAAAGCGTCATCCTTGTCCTTCAATGGAGTAGAGCTTCCTTGGATGCTATCACTTACCTTGCATTTCTCCTGCATTCACCCGGACAAGCTAACCCGAGCTTACTCACGTTGTTAACCATTCATGGGCTCAAGTTGGTTTTGGCAATCCTAATCTGAGCTGCAATTTGGTAATGACATACCATGAACTAAGCTAGAACCAAAGAACACACAACGATGATTTTGTTTCTTGCTATGCTTATACATATGCATTGACCGGTTTGTTTCATTTGCATAACAGTTACTTACATATGCTCGTGATTTGTGATTCAGGAATTGCTGCCTAGGAAGATTTATCGTACGGAAGCTTGGATTTAAGAATGCTTAATATAGATGGAAAATACAGCTTGAGCCAAAGTTGTGGATGTGGATTACTACTCGTATTCTGTTTGAAGAAATACTGCAGTCTAGAGGTACATTCACTTAGAGCTAATTCAGTACCTGCTATAGAAAGAACTTCTCCCAATCGACGTTTACAAAAGAAAGGGACTTGTCGTGTAAGGTTTGAACGAACGTAGATTGTTTAGTATAGAACTTTTCATTTTCTTCGCCTTTTTTCCTTGTCCCTTGCATATGGTTGAGATGTAAAATTGGATAGCGGAATATACTTACGAGAGATAATTGTTCCATTACATTATCTGATGAAAACAATGCAACGTAAAAGCAGATTGTTCGTTCCTTCATCGGATTCTTTTCTTTTCTTTATTCTTTTCTTACTGTAATTCTCCAGCAAACTTGCTGGCTGTTGTTGAAATTTATCTCAATTTCTATCAACTTTTCAGCTTATTTAATGGTGTGACAAATGCTTTCTATCTATGCTCTTAAATGATATTTTTAGAACTATTCTCATATTTATTCCACATACTTCTTGTACACCCCTAGTTGTTTGTCCACATAGAGGTTTGACTATAATAACGTCGTTTATTCGAATATTTTTTTTGCTGCTATAGCAAACATGTAATGTAACATAATAGGTTTCAGAAAAATACTCGACCATTATAACGAAATATTGTTAGAGAGATATAGAAAGGTCTTACTCTATCATTGAAGTCAACAATTCATGCATAACCATCCCTCATGTGTTTATTCATTGTATATGTCAAGACTTGTTTTATGGTTCATTTTTCGGATGACCATTCAACGAATAGTTATTATTTCAGAAAGTTGCTTTGTTTGTTGAGGAAAAAATAGAATAAAAAGAAATACAACTTTTTGAGATAATAACTACTCTCTCTCTCTCTCCAATTTATATGACATGTTTTTTTTTACTCCCTCCGAAAAGAATATCACATTTCTATAATTGAAAACTATTTTGACTTAAAAATTCCTTCCTTATCCTTAATAAAATGATTTATAGCCACTGAAATGGTCAAGTGTTTTGGATTACAAATTTCAAAATTATTGTTTTTTTCTTAAACTTCATATCAAGTTAAATGGTATCACATAAATTGATACAAAGAAAATATTAGATTAGCAATGATCTACGTAATATTTGGCCTCAATTCATTGAAACTTAGGAATTTCGCATAAATACCCAATTATGGGACCATCAGCTTATGTTCACATTTTTGGAACAATTTTAAATATGCAATGTATAAAATTTCATATAGTTGAAGTTCAATCGTATTTGTCTGATCTTCATACATTACAGACATTGTATGTGTAAAATTGTTTCGAAGTAGAAAAATGTGGATAAATTTTGAGAAAATCAAATACAAAGTAAATAGATGTCCAAATAAAATACTCGTAAATTTTTTTAATAAAATAAAATAAATAAATAAAGGCAAAAAATGTTAGAGGCCCATGAAGATATGTGGATAAAGAGTGGATCCCGCATATTTGGTCAGCGGTCCATGGGCTGAAGTGGCCCACTAACGAATTTTAAGCAAATCGACACTACGTAATGGGCATCTACTATTGTGTGTATCCCATGTTTTTTCTCGAGATAATTACGTGTGTCTAAATCATTCGATCATCTAATTTTATAAAATATTTCGAAATTATATGTACTTTATACTAAATCAACATATATTATACACAACATGTATATATTTAATGGTGTATATATATCGTGTGTTGTTCAACAGTTAAACTAGTTGGTCAAATGGTATATATCAGTAACATTACCTTTCTTTATGTTGTTTTTTTTGTCAATTTTTGTAAAGGGAAAATAAAGTTTAGAAATTCCCTAAAATGTGTGGTCAAATATATATTCTTATCCTTATTTCGTGGCTCCATTTACACCTTGGTCTTCTTTTTATTTATTTCCTTTTCAATTAGATACTAACTTCTATATTTTTATTTATTATTTTATATTCAAAAAATCATGAAAGGATATGTTGAAAATCTTAGTCGGAGAAGTGAAAATAACTATACTGAAATAATAGTTGGGTCTTAGTCGCAAACAAGTTAAAATGGAATATATAAATTCTTATTGATCGTGTATCACCATTTAAATTTATCTCGAGCCACCATTATACTAAATAAAAACATTCTAAGCAGCTGCTATATAATTTTAAACCTTGTTTCTAATAAACAAGGAAATATTTCTAACTCTCAAATACTATAATATATTTGGGGGAAAAGAAGATAGATGAATACTATAGGGCATTAATATAGTTCCTCTAAGGACTTAAAATCAAGCGCGTGTTATTAATCATCAGAAGATACGGTGGAATGAATAAAATTCCTTCACTCTTAATCAGATATCTCAAATTTAAACTTTGAATATAGAGAAAACGAATTCCGATATCAAATAAAAGAATATTATAGGACCATAAGGTGGGGGTGACAAATCAAATCAGTTGACAAATGACAGGTAAATTCATTGAATGTATGACATATTTTTGAATGAAAGCAAATAAAATATTATATTGCTAAGTTTCAACATCAGAATAAGGACCAGAATTTATTATTTTTTTCTTCCCTTTTTTGGAGAGGTTTTGAAGTTTAATCCTTAGAGAATTACTTAACAATAATAGTAAAAAAAATTCCTTGGATATAACACTACTGACCTATCACATGATGAAAGTACAAAAGAATAGTAAACGAGAATACAATATAAAGATTCTAAATATGAGAAGTTGCCCTCAGCACCCCCTCGCAAGTGAATTCAAAGCCCTAGTATATAGGTATGGCGCTAACGCTGTACTAATATTTATAATAAAAAATCAGGCTCTGTTCGAGCGAAGAGCCTGATTTTGGCACATAAAATTAGAGAATAAGCATAAATTTGAAAGCACAGATAAAAGAGAAGAAGCTGTAGCAGTGCATTATACAAAAAGCTGACAGCTCAAAAAAAGGTTCTTCTCCACTTGGAATAATTTACAAAAAATTTTTCTAATGGAAGTTTGTTTTCCCATAGCACAGAAATCAATCTAACTTGTTTGTTTTTCCCCCATGATATTTCAAAAGCAACAACAGAAAATGAATTACAACAGGGCCAGAAGATGTTGTTAACAAGAATTATGATGAACAGCACCAACCTTTTTTCGCTTGTGTCTCTGCTTCTTGGTTTTCATCTGCCTGCAAAACCACAGTTTTACCATTTGCCAGACGCCCGGAATCCTTTTTTTGAAGTTCTTGCGATTGCATGACTTTCCGGCTCAAGATATTATAGATCTCTTTAACAACTGTTTGAAAAGCTACAGCTACATTTGAAGAATCCAAAGCTGATGTTTCTATGAAGAATAGACCTTGTGCCTCTGCTAAGGATTTGCCTTCAGCTGTTGTCACCTCCCTCGCATCTTTGAGATCAGATTTATTTCCAACGAGTATCGTAACCACGTTCATGTCAGAATGAGCTGTCCACACAAATAAAGAAGATCAGCAAAATAAACAAATTGCACAACGTATCGACATGGAAATAGCTCAAATAAGCGTTTATCAAATTTAAACTGCAGAGTATGCAAGTCAAACTATTACAACGTTGTCATAAAACTTACTCTGAAGTTCATTAAGCCATCGGCCAATATTTTCAAAAGTTAGCCGTCTACTAATATCATAAACCAGAAGAGCTCCAACTGCACCTCTGTAATATGCAGAAGTTACTGCCCTAAACCGTTCTTGGCCTGCTGTGTCCCATATCTGTGCTTTGACCTCCTTCCCATTTATGTCCAGCTTTTGGGTCTGGAACTCTACTCCTATTGTTGATTTTGAGTTGGGATAGAATTCATCACGAGCAAATCTAGCAAGCAAATTTGATTTCCCAACAGCTGAATCACCAATCAAAACAATCTTGAAAAGGTAATCCTCCGTTTGTGCTTCCTCAGAACGAAACGCCATCTTCTATGTGTAAAATGGCAAAGCTAGAACATCATATTTGCTTATTTTGTAGCTAAACACCAGAAACAAGAAATTTAAAGCACAAATAGGTAGAAGGCCCTCAAGGAAACTTGCAAGGCAATACAAGCATATGTAAGACAAAACACTTTCGCTTAGGAATTGGTTTAAGAAGAGAAGAAAGACAAGGTAATTTAGAATAAGGATTTTCTATTAACCCTGTACTAAACTTCTTCCAGCCGCTGCACCACTGGGTAACTCTTTCCTATTTTATTCAGCCCTCTACCGGACAGCTTATAAATACGTACCTGCATAAGAAGAAAAAAGATAGAAACTTGAAACATCAGCAAAGCATCCACAGTCTACACTTAGCTTCCCATAAAACAATGTGTCATTCTTCAATAGGATATAGTCTAATTAGCATAGGTAAGGGAAAGGAAATTATACAAGACTAATCAGCTGTCGCTCATCTAGTGCCCCGTCCTTGCCACCTCCCACTTCCCTTGCTTCTTTTGCAGACCTTTTAAAGGCAAACCTAGAAGAAAAATGAAGGGAAGTACTACTATAAGACTTTCACAAAATTGTACTTGCAGAATATTCATATCTGGTTGTTGACATAATATAAGAAACCAAAAATTGTTATCTCCAAAATATTCCACTAATTCAAAACCAAGTCACACCAAAGGCAAATTACTCCCTAATAATGCAAAAGGCCAACTAGTTATTACACTATCTGCATTGACTTTTTCTTTTCTCTTTTCCCGCTTCTCAAGGATAAGGGGGTCTGAATGAAGAGGGGAAAAGGTGGAATTTGAGAGAGAGAGAGATGGGAGATAATTCTCAAGGAAATAGAAATATGTGTGGACTACAAACAATGACCATTAAACAGTGATGCTCAAAAAGCTTGCTAACTGTCAGAAACCATTAATAGATATAGTTTACATGAGAAAATACATATAACAGAAAGGGAAGTGTCAACAGAAGAAGATCAATATTTCCTCTTGCTCTCCAGCTGTAGGGAAGGGGAGGAGCCGAGGAGGCTGCCTCTCAAAAACGGAAATGAATACTTGAAACGGGAAGCTAAGTGTGTAGCATTCAATAGAAAGGGATAAAACTGCAAACCAAATTGATAAAGTTATCATGCAGCAAGGACTTTTAACAAAATACAGGGCACACAAGATTTGATGACACCAGAAGAACATATAATGCCCATAGGTTGAAGCAAACAAAATCCAACATTTTCATTGATATAGTCTAAATATCATATATGAAAAATTAAGAATATTTGCCTAAATATTTGTAATATAACCAAAATTTGACCAGTGGAAATATCCGTTAAGCCAGATTTAATCCCTACAATGTACTTGACGATGACACCTGTACCTTGAAAAATCGACTTGCCCAGTTCACAAAGTGCTCTCTCTCTAGTCTTGCAAGATGTCTAAGATCTAACTTTGAGCTATAATTAATAACATTCAAGTGCAGTATTGCACTGTGTTATTAGTTTTTGACAAGTATCGTACAGTGATATTGTAGTTTTTCTTTTCCTCACGCCTGAAAATTAGAACCTGGCCACTAGATGTTGATTGCCCTAGTTTAGATTCTATGATGGATAAAGCTTTTTCAAGTCAATAAAATATACAAATACAACCTTCAGAAATAGCAAACAGATAGTATAAAAAGCCTTATTCAAGGTAGCTGCATACACCTCATCCACAAAATACAATATCAGAAGACCCCAACATTGATGAATACAAAACAATCACTATCGACATATAAATTATGTTGACCAAGAAAGGAAATTGATCCAAGGGAAAGTAGGCATTCTACAATGCTTTGCAATCTATTGACTTCACTCAATAAAGGCTATAAATTTGACGGACATTCTGGTGACCTGAAGGCAAAAATCAATTTATGAGATGGGTCACAAAGACCATGTAGATTTTTAATCCAGGTCAACTTGTGTGCAACTTGACTAATCTGCCACATACCCTTACCTTCCCATTATTACAAGTATCAGCTAATTCTTTTTTTTTGCAGAAGTGGATTTAAACACTGATCTCAACATGGTCCATTCCAATTTTATTAACCAGCTAAATCACACCCTTGATCACTAGTCACAAAGACTAACCATTAACAGGTGAAACAATTTCCTATACGGGACCCACAGAGTTGATAATTTCAATAATAAGTTGCACTTGCATAGACATCTACAACAAAGTTAATGAGGTCAGATAAACAAAGATTTTTAGCAAGTAGACTTTGAAAATGTCAGGTCAGTATGTAATCCTCCATTTGATCATGCCACACATAATGTGTTGGTAAACTTATCCTAACTGATCATAATTGCCCCTTATCTCATAATGGCAATTGGAAAGACTCAACATTGTACATGGACACCACACAATCCCAAAAGTAAACAGTTTTTTATCTGACATCTCAAAACAGTATTTTAGTACCAACATAAACAAATATATCTACCAGACATAATCACAATGAGAAATGACATTATTATTTGACATTTACCCATTAAAGATAGAAAAGACACATGCTACACTAAGTACAATTACGGATTGTTTGGTAGCTAGTAAAGAAGTAACTTATTCATGTAATATTAACTAGTTTATTTTGCAATTTAGAAACACGAATAACTAATACATGTATGAATTATGACCGAATTAATGTATTACCTTATATGGATAAATAAAAGATGGAATAACTAATACCTACGTAATTCTACCCAGCTACCAAACGACCCCTTAATTTCCACCATTCTCATAATGCTCCTAAATCAACAAAAAAAAAAGTTTTAATCTTTCCTTTTCATGAGATTTTGTACAAGTTCCAGCACAAAAAGGAAATTATTTTCAGTTTTCACCATAACAAGCTTATAAACCAGCATAATGTAACTACAAAAAAATCAATAAAAAGAAACAATTTTGACACATACCCACTTTTTTATATGACGAAAGGATCTTCCCCCTTTATCAATCTCTCACGATGTGATCAAATCAGACCCGTTTCTAACCAGATCAATCCACAAAAAAAAAGGTTAAAAAGAGTAATTTTGAGAAAAATGTGTTGAAGAAACACAGAAATCAAAGGATTGTTTCGATTTTTTAATGATTTTTGGAGAGACTGGGTGGGTTTGAAGATCCAGGGAAGAAAGAGCAGGAGAGAGAGAGAGAGAGAGAGAAGGGGCCAAAAGGGGGAAGAAAACCAAGATTCTACAAACTGAGCAAATTTGGAAGGAACAGATGGTCACATTAAATGGGCTTTTTCTAAATGGGTCGGATATTTTTTAGTTGGCCCAATTTGATATACATGAGTTTTACGGACCACAGTCTTGACCTCCAATCGAGCTATGAACACGAGAAGATATGTGGTTAGGGGGGAGAGGGTCACTAGGCCTGCCTTTTCAATCAATCTTTGGCAGTTCAGTGCCGTGATTGGTGCGAGTTGTAAGGAGTCTTGATCTCGATTCAAGTTGGGGGTCGTTTCATTATCGTAATGGGAATGAGTGCACCACAAGACTAGACAAGTTGCTTCCGCTGTGAGATATTTGATATCCGCTTTGTAATCCAACTAATATAATTTCATGTCATTCTAGTGAAGTTGAGAAAAAACTAATCCAATTCGTAGTTGTTGATGTTTATATTGATCGATCATAGAAGAAAAAGTCATTAATTCACTTGTTTTTTTAATTCAGTCAATTTTGATCCGCTCAATTTAATATGTTAGATTGATTTAGCTAAATATATAATCTAAATTAATTCACGAGAAATCTTATCGAAATATTTGTAATTTCTTTTGTTTGTTAGGTTATATTTCCTCCGTTTTAATTTGTTTGTCTAGTTATGACTCGACACGAAGTTTGAGAAAGAAAAAAAAATCTTGTGATAAATTAAAGATGTATAGAATGTATCAAAATGCTCTTTAATCTTGAGATTTAAACATGTGAAATTAAAATTAAAAAGTTGTAAGAATTGAAATCAACATCATCCATACAACTTAAATAATTTTATGTTAAAGCTACTATAATTTTAACAAATATTAATTTTTATATCTCATAATTCAAAAAGATTAATATGTTCAATTACAAGATTTTGAAAGTCGATTTTATTATGTTTCAATTATGAATCCACTTCTATATATCACTCATAAGACTGATATTCAAAGATAAAAATAAATATTCAAAATTTAAATTTTATCGATCGAGTTCAAACTGACGATAACTTAGGTCCGCCCCTAGCAAGACACATGCGCATAGCAAATTAATGTACCTGCAATACTGACCATGTTGTCTTTCTTACTGCTACATAACTTTAATGACATGAAATTTATATACTGAATTCATTATATTTTTAAAATTATGAACTTATCGATTCAAATCTTATTAAAATTAACATAAATTGTGGAATAATTACATTAAAAATATTTGTATACTCATGACTCCATGAGGTAATATGTATATAATGGGCCAGATTTTTTGGGCCCTTATGGATGTGGATAATTTGCACAAAAGGGATACATCGATAATATTTCTATATTCAATTTAGATGTCTTGTTAAAGTATTCATGAATCGTGTTGGATTATCATTTTCAAAGCTGGAAACAAGTGAGGAAAAGAAATACAAAATAGATCAGTATGACTTCACGCTATATGCAACGTAATTGTCGAGTTGAATACTCACAAACTATATGTTCTGATCGCGTATTGCAAGAACAAATAAGTCATTTATCTTGCTCATAAAATAAAATACGCCTATGTTATTTACAAGATATGAAATTAAAAATAAATAAATTACTAAGTAGTACTATGATGGCATTGGGAACTCCTTAAAGCATTTCATCCTTGTCTTAACAAAACATGAAAAATTATCTTATTATGATTAAGTAATTTCGGAAATAATCTCTCTACTTTCATGAGTTAATTGTAAGATGTACGTACATTCTATCCTCCTAGACCCTACTTATGGAATTTCATTGGATATGTTATTATTGTCGTTGTTACACAATCAACAATATTTACCTTATTTTATGATTATTGGCATACCTAAAATTCTTCTAAATCTAAATAACCATAATTTCACTTATACCAATGCCAAATAAAGATGATTACAATATTCAATCAACAAAGTACCCTAAAATAATAGGTTATTATTTTTCTTTAAAACATAGCATTATAACTTTACTTAATCTTCGACACAAATTTATTAAACAATCAAGTATGAAGATTCTATCCACACTAGTCTAGTTGTTCTAGGGTTATTATATATTTCTTAGGTTATTTTATAGTAAAATACAGTTGTATTGATAGTGCAAGGATTTATACTTATTCGATATATTATTTTAATAGTGATAATGTGATATGTTATTTTTACTTTGAATTATTTGAGATATTGAGGTTAAGATAAGGATATTTGTCGTGATAACCTCAATAAATTAGATACGTTAGTATCAAAAGTATAATTGAATAAATTAAAAAATATAATATTTTTAATAATTTAAGCTATAAAGGACAAAGTATCAATGTCAAGAATGCCAAAATACACAGTAAACCCCTAAATAAAGGACAAAAGAAATGTCATTTTCTTGACTAATTTTACCTTTTATTATGTAAACAACATAATATGGACCAAAAACCACAAAGAAAAGGAAGAAATAATTATTAAAAAAAGCATGAATACCAATTGGTTGGGTATAGATATTTTGAACATATGCCAATAGTTATGTTCTTCATGATGTTTTTTTTCAAATAAAGAAATCTTTTTGAAGGTAACAACCACCCACCTAACAAAAAAAAAACATTTTCATACAAAAATTAATTAAAAGGAACTCTTACTTTTTAAGTTTTTTTGGATAACGTTAATATTTTGCCTATAATAAGATTTTGTTCTTAGCTAAATGCTTCTAGTTGAAATCATGATGAAAGATGATGTTTGTTGATGAGTTTAGTTTTAAAAAATAATAAAGTTATGCCTTTATTATCAAATATAATTTTTAGACATAATGATAAATACTTAAATTTAATTGTCATTTTATCCCATTTTTATTAACAACTAATTTTATAGATTTTCAAATACCAAACACAAATAACAACACATGTGCTCCTCTTCAATGATTTGTTAGTTGAATCTAGTCATCAAAAAATTCATTGGAATTCAATATTTTTCATATGTCAATAATCGATTAAATATTATATCTGTATTCATAATTTTTTTAAACAAATTGTAATATGTGCATTTTTAATTTACTTGATTTTTTCTTTGTTTTTCCCAATACAATAAAGTCTTTAATGTTTGGCATCAGCACCAATGCAAAAACAGTTTCCTAGTATCAAATGCATTAAATTTGTTCTCAATACTTATCCCATAAGTCATACTATAATTAATTATTTTTTAGTTTTGGTCTTTTGTGTTTTGAACAATTATCAACTTTGTTAGTTTATCTTTTTCCCTTTGTTTTCTTCTGAAATGAAGGAGAAAAAAAATCTCATTTTTTTCCTCCACTTATCATGGAAAAATGTCGTTATGGTTGATTAGTAAATCATGCGTGTGTATCGATCATTGGTATGTTTTTATATTTTATTAATTTAATTTATTGATTTTTTATTGATCAACAAACTAACTTAATAATCAAACTAATTAAGATATATGCTAATTTTCGTTTTAACCAATAAGAAAATATTTGTCCAAACATATACACACACGATATTCATAAAATAGAAACGAAACAATAGTAAGAATAGAAGTGCAGCACAAATTTCTACATCTTGAAATCCTTCTAAACACTCATACATTTGATGTCTGTTTCTGTTACAGTCAAATCTAAAATTAAGTGGAGAAAAGATAACTAATTTTAGCATATCTATCGTATTAAGAAAAAGCTACAAAACAAATTAGAAGTGAACTCACGATTTAAATTAGTAATTCTATATATAAATTTTTTTTTATTCTAAATATGAAATTATAACTATTGAACACACTTTATAGGAGTTTTAATTATTAAACATACCGTATCTAACCTCTACCTCTAAAACAAATTACTTTCCGAGTTCTATATTAGGAATTTTAATAAATTAATTGTGATATTTCTTCAATAATTAAGAGGATAAACATATAATAAAATCTTAATCAGATTTGAGTTTGACTCAAAATTTCTGTTCCTTTTAGACTTGAGTTTTACACATATAATTATATATATCTACAAAACTTCACTTTATATCTTATCATCAAAGTAGAAAAAAAGAGTGTGGACTCTCTTTCAGAAAAAAATTGGAAAAAAACGTGACAACTTGACTTAAGGTACTGTTTTTTTTTTAATGGTTTTTTCTTGTAGTAATTCTCAATTCCAATTGTTATTGCTGTTTTTTTATACAATAAATTTGTAATTTTGGGCTCTGTTTTTTTTGTGTCCATTTTTTTTTTTGTTTTGTTGATTCTGCATGATTGTATAATGTATTTTGATTTGATTTGATTTCATAGGTATCTTTGTTTATTTCTCTGGAAATATAATTCTAGAAAAGAGAATCAAATGGTGTTTTTTTGTTAATATATAGTAATAAAGTTAGAATTTTTTGTCAATTTTTGCTTTTATAAAATTGGTATTAACTGTTTTTGCTTTGTTTTTGGATAAGTTGGAATATGAATTGTTTAATAAGTATATCCATTGTAGAAATTGGTGATATTTTTGTGCTAAAGGTTCTCTTTTGTTCCTCTCATAAGCACATATCTTGGCCCGTTACCTGCATTAGAGTCTGACTAATTTGCATTCTCCTCGAGCAATGCCCATTCGTGGTAAAAGAATTTCCTTGTTTGATCAATTATTAGATCACGAATCTTACTTTTTTTGGTCCTAGTGCTACTTTTTTTGTGCAATTTGTATTAAAGAAAGGAATTTGATGCTTTGTATTGGATAATGTATGTGATTTAGAGTATTTGAAGGTGAGTTTTTGTTGTTGGCAGAGTAATTTGCTGTGAAGATTTCTCTTGTGAAAATTCTTTTTGAGTAAAGTAGAGAACTAGATTGAGATACTATGGAGGGTGCTCCTCACAAAGCTGCGAAGACGGAGTTTACAGAATGTTGGAGGACTTCATGGAAAACGCCTTACATTATGCGTCTCGCCTTTTCTGCTGGTATAGGAGGGCTGTTGTTTGGTTATGATACTGGTAAAAGACAACTCCTTTTAGTACTTTCTTGTTTTTATAGCGGAGAATTTCGCTAATGG